GACGAAACTATATATGGGAGCTATATCTAAATCTGAACCGATTTCAACAAAACTTCGCATTCATCAATGACCTAATTTAGTACGCGGTGCAAAATTTTGTCTCAATCGGATAAATATTGGCAGTATGTTGCTCCATTTACATAAAATCGGACGAAACTATATATAGCATATTTAGATATAAATCTGAACCGATTCCAACAAAATTACTCATACATCATCATCTAAAAGGAGGCGAATATTAGTAATTTTTAGGAGGGAGGTTTGTTACCATATACGACTACAAAAAACCAAATTACAAAGAATTTGGTTGAAAAACGCGTTCAAGAACCCCAAAACACCGAAAATTGGGGGGTACCCTTATATGGGGGCTACCCGAAAAAGTGGACCTATATTTATTATTTTTAGTGGAGATATTTGCTACCTAATAAGAACTCGATGTACTAAATTAAAGTCAATTCGGTTTTCGAAAAATACGTTCTATATCAAATACCAAAAATTTGGGAGTACCGTTATATGGGGACTACCAGAAAAACTGGAACTATATTTATAATTTTTAGTGGAATAATTTGGTACACAATAAGAACCGAATGTACAAAATTTCAGAGAATTCAGTTATAAAATGAGCCAAAGAACCCCAAAATACCGAAAACTGGGGGTACCTTTATATAAGGGCTACCCGAAAAAATGGACCTATATTTATAATTTTTTGTGGGGACATTTAGTACCCAATAAGAACCCAGTGTACCAAATTTCAGCGTATTCGGTTGAAAATCGCGCTCAAGAACCCCAAAATACCGAAAATTGGGGGGTACCCTTATATGGGAGCTATGCCTAAACGTGGACCGATTTTCTCCAATTTCAATAGGGTTCGTCCTTGGGCCAATTAAGTGACCTGTGCCAAATTTCATCCAGATCGGATCATAAATGCGACCTGTACTTTGTTAACAAAAATACATGGACGGACGGACAGACGGACGGACGGACGGACAGACGGACAGACGGACATGCATAAATCGACTCAGAAAGTGATTCTATGCATATTCTCAAAAGGAACCATGGGTCTATCTCGATTATTTTTGCCTGTTACAAACATATGCACAAAGACATAATACCCTGTACCACAGTGTGGTGAAGGGTATAAAAATGGAAATTTTTCTTCATAACAGCTACATTTTGTGTATGTGTAAGTAAATGTATTTTAAATTACATATGTAACAAACAATTCTAACTACATATCAAGCAAGAATATATATATTGGACCTTGAATTGTTTTTGTCCTACAAGTATGCTACGATTTGCTTTAGAAACAACCGTCAGTTGTTATGAAAAGCTTTGCCATTGTTAAAAGCCCGATTTTTGAGAGATTTTCATTTTCGGGTAATAGGAGCCCAAAATCGAACAGGAAGTATATTTCGGAGCGTCGTTGAGTTAAAATGCAGATAACTCAGCAACTACTTTACCGATCTTCATGAAATTTACAGCAATGGATAGAGGGAATTCTGAATTCTTATATTTGAAAAGATTCAAAACGAAAATTGTATTTGATATTAATTTGGTTGTGACTTTGTGACCTTAAATATGATAGAATGAAAGAATATATATAACGCGTTATGTTTTGTAAATTTTTCTAGAAACCCGAATTTAGTTCGAATTTGGTGCCGTTCTATATCAGATGAAAAGTCGACGGCTTGACTCATGACTGATTTTTTTATAATGTATGGAATATTTTATTGTGTGTGAGGGATCTGGTGGATCCCATATTCGATCGTGATTTAGTTTTGGTAAACATACGACGATGTGCAGAGTTTGAGTCCTTGTCCTTGAAAATATTCCTTAAAAAATCCACGACTCTTCTAGTCCATGAAAAATATTCCTTAACAAATTCACGTTTCTTCTATTCCTTGAAGAAATCGACGCATCTTAAAGTCCTTGATAAAATCCACTCCTCTGCTAGTCCTTGAAAAATATTCCTTAACAAATTCACGTTTCTTCTAGTCCTTGAAGAAATCGATGCCTCTTAAAGTCCTTGACAAAATCCACACCTCTTTTAGTCCTTGACAAAATCCACGCCTCTTCTAGTCCTTGAAAAAATTCCTTAACAAATCCTTGCATGTTCTAGTCCATGAAAAATATTCCTTAACAAATCCACACCTCTTCTAGTCCTTGAAAAATAGTCCTTAACAAATCCACGCCTCTTCTAGTCCTTGAAAAATATTCCTTAACTAATCCACGCCTCTTCTAGTCCTTGAAAAATATTCCTTAACAAACCCATGCCTCTTCTAGTTCTTGAAAAATATTCCTTAACAAATCCACGCCTCTTCTATGTAGTCCTTGGAAAAGTATTCTTTAAAAAATCAACGCCTCTTATAGTCTTTGAAAAAATATTTTTGAAATAATCCACTGCTCTTGTAGTCCTCGGAAAGAGTTCTTTAAGTAATCAACGCATCTTTTTACCTTTAAAAAATCTACGCCCCTTTTGTCCTTAAAAAAATAATCTTGTAAAAATCCATGACTCTTCTACTCCTTGAAAAAATATTCTTTAAAAAATCCACGCCTCTTGAGTGCTTAAAACATTTCTCTAATATTTCTCCAATTGTCGATATTTTACATATATCTTTAGTCTACCAGGCGCCCAGAATGAAATAGAAAGTAGCCCGCCAAAAATTAAAAAATTGCATCAGGCAACAAACTACCCGCGAAAAAAAAATCGAGCGCCTAAAAGTATGCTACACATTTTGTAATTTTTCACACATTTTTTTTTGGCGGGATACTTTCTATTTTATTCTGGGCGCCTGGTATTTTTGTGAAATTTGCCCAAAAATACACAAAACCAGGGGAAAGAAAAATTGTGACGTCATCACATGAACGTATGTCGGACGCATAGGGGCATGTATGTATACTTACCGTATGTGTATCCATAAATAAAAACAAATAATATTTTCATTTGGTTTCTTTTCATTTTTATTAAATATTCTTTGCAAAAAATATACACATACATTTAAAAATATATATAAAATATATGAACTTTATTAAAGTTTTCTTAACAAATTAACCGACTTATTTGGCCTCTATTGTCTTGCCGTTCTTCCTTTGAGAATTTTATGATTGAGAGAGCAGGATAATTCCAAAAGATATCATTATCCTCAACTTATTTGTAGATCGTTTTCGATTATCATCATACGGAAATCCGAGCATTGTACAAATCACAACCACACCTGAAATGAAAAATAAAATGTAAATTTAAATAAATGTATTTTTTAAGATAAGAAATAGGTTTTAATTTTAGAAAACATTTGAATAATATCAGCCAAAAAAATTTTAACACGTTGAGGGACAGTAGAAACAAGTGAAATTCGAAAACATGACACTATGCTTCTACTTGTACGCTGGTAAATGCACAGCCGTCATGTCACATAGTAAACTTGAACTTGACGGCTATAGACGCAACTGTCGGTCAACGTGTTAAAATGTGGCGGAAAGGCTCAATTTGGTGGGCATTCCAAATCCCTTAAATCGGTCGGAACCATTTGTATGGCGACTATGTTTGAAAAAGTAATGTTTCAAATTTCAGACGTTCAGGTTGCAGTTTTCTGTGAAAAGAAATATTTTCCCGCCAACGAAGTTACGGGCATATACCGGCATGTAAGAACTTTAGAATTCCCTCTAACCATTGCTGCAAAATTTAATCGGTTAAGTATTTCCTGAGTTATTCGAATTTGAATTATACCATGCACCGAAATATGCCTACTGTTCGGTGCTGGGCGCCTATTACCTAAAAATGAAAAACCCCACAAAAATCGATCTTGTAAAAATGGACATTTTTTCTTCATACACCTACATTGTGTGTGAGTGCGTGTGTGGAAAATTTTTGCCGTTTTAAAAAACCGATTTTTGAGAGATTTTCATTTTTGGGTAATAGGCGCCCAGAATCGAATGGCAAGCATATTTCGGAGCATCGTTGAATTGAAATGCAAATAACTCAGCAACTACTTAACCGATTTTCATAAAATTTACAGCAATGGATAGAGGGAATTCTGAAGTTTTACTACACAATAGAGTTGTTTCTTTTGGTTTGCTTCAATTTTTTCTTTTATTAACATATATAAATATTTGGGTTTCAATTATTTCAAAAAAAAAAAAATATTGTAAAAAAATTGGTATGTGTCTTTGTGCCCTTAAAAATGATGGCGTATTATGTTTGGTAAGCTTTTCTAGAATATCAAGATTTGTATTAGAACCTAAAATGGGCTTAGATCACTTTCAAAATAAACTATTCAATTTTACCGAATATAGTTCAAATTTCTTGCCGTTCTGTATCAGATGAAATGTCGACGGTTTGATTTATAACAGACGGTTTGACTTATAGTCCTTGAAAAATATTTCATAACAGATCCACGCCTCTTATAGTCCTTGAAAAATATTCCATAACAGATCCACGCTTCTTATAGTCCTTGAAAAATATTCCATAACAGATCCACGCCTCTTATAATCCTTGAAAAATATTCTATAACAGATCCACGCCTCTTATAGTCCTTGAAAAATATTCCATAACAAATCCACGCCTCTTATAGCCCTTGAAAAATATTCCATAACAGATCCACGCCTCATATAATCCTTGAAAAATATTCCATAACAGATCCACGCCTCCTTTAGTCCTTGAAAAATATTCCATAACAGATCCACGCCTCTTATAGTCCTTGAAAAATATTCCATAACAGATCCACGCCTCTTATAGTCCTTGAAAAATATTCCATAACAGATCCACGCCTCTTATAATCCTTAAAAAATAAGCCTTAAAAAATCCACGCCTCTTATAGTCCTCGAAAAATGTCCACTCTTGAGGCTGTCATAGTCCTTGATAAAAATGCTTTAAACGGTAGTGGTAGTCCCTGAAAAAATTCTTTAAAAAAATAAAGAAATTCTTTGATAAAAAATTGTCTATTCTTAAAAATGAAATCCTAATTAGTACGTATTATTATCGTATGTTTTTTTCTTTTCAGAAATGGTACGACGAAGGACCGCCCTCCACATATTGGCTGTCTGGGTTCTTTTTCACTCAGGCATTCCTGACGGGGGCGCAACAGAATTTTGCACGAAAATATGTCATACCCATCGATTTGCTCGTATTCGATTATGAGGTGCTGCGTGTTGAGGAAGATCAAGCGGCGAATATGACAGCCCCAGATGATGGAGTTTATGTTTATGGAATCTTTCTGGAAGGTGCATGTTGGGATCGTGTTGAAAATTGCTTAGCTGAATCATATCCAAGGGAATTGTATGATCGTATGCCATTGATATGGATGAAACCGGTAAAGAAATCGGAGTTAAAGGAACGGCATGTCTATGTGTGTCCCATGTATAAGACAGCTGAGCGAAGGGGTGTACTTTCCACAACGGGTCATAGTACAAATTTTGTTGTGGCCATGTTATTGGAATGTAATCCGAAAACGGAGACATCTCATTGGATTATAAGGGGCACGGCGTTACTGTGTCAGCTGAGTTATTAGGATTGATTGTTCTAATACTCTATATTTTCATATTTTGTAACAATTTTTATTTCAATAAATATATTTAGAAATTAATTCATAGAAAAATCGAATTTTCCAAGAAAAAAAAATCAGTGAAAACCTAAGTCTGCAGAAGTCCTTGCAGAAATATTGTTTAAAAAATCTACGCCTATACAAGTCCTTGAAGAAATATTGTTTAAAAAATCTACGCCTATACAAGTCCTTGAAGAAATATTGTTTAAAAAATCTACGCCTATACAAGTCCTTGAAGAAATATTGTTTAAAAAATCCACGCCTATGGAAGTCCTTGAAGAAATGTTGTTTAAAAAATCCACGCCTATGGAATTCCTTGAAGAAATATTGTTTAAAAAATCCACGCCTATGGAAGTCCTTGAAGAAATGTTGTTTAAAAAATCCACGCCTATGGAATTCCTTGAAGAAATATTGTTTAAAAAATCCACGCCTATGGGAGTCCTTGAAGAAATATTGTTTAAAACATCCACGCCTTGATTGGTCCTTGAAGAAATATTGTTTAAAAAATCCACGCCTTGAAGAAATATTGTTTAAAAAATCCACGCCTATGGGAGTCCTTGAAGAAATATTGTTTAAAACATCCACGCCTATGGAAGTCCTTGAAGAAATATTGTTTAAAAAATCCACGCCTATGGAAGTCCTTGAAGAAATATTGTTTAAAAAATCCACACCTGTAGAAGTCCTTGAAGGAATATTGTTTAAAAAATCCACACCTGTAGAAGTCCTTGAAGAAATATTGTTTAAAAAATCCACACCTGTAGAAGTCCTTGAAGAAATATTGTTTAAAAAATCCACGCCTTCTAAAGTCCTGAAGAAATATTGTTTAAAAAATCCACGCCTACCTTGAAGAAATATTGTTTAAAAAATCCACGCCTCCTTGAAAGAAATATTGTTTAAAAAATCCACGCCTTAAAGTCCTGAAGAAATATTGTTTAAAAAATCCACGCCTATAGAAGTCCTTGAAGAAATATTGTTTAAAAAATCCACGCCTTCTAGAAGTCCTTGAAGAAATATTGTTTAAAAAATCCACGCCTTCTAAAGTCCTTGAAGTCCCTGAAAGAAATATTGTTTAAAAAATCCACGCCTTCTAAAGTCCTGAAAGAAATATTGTTTAAAAAATCCACGCCTTCTAAAGTCCTGAAAGAAATATTGTTTAAAAAATCCACGCCTTCTAAAGTCCTGAAAGAAATATTGTTTAAAAAATCCACGCCTTCTAAGGGACCCCCAGAAAAATATTCTTTAAAAAATCCACGCCTTCTAAGGGACCCCCAGAAAAATATTCTTTAAAAAATCCACGCCTTCTAAAGTCCTGACAGAAATATTGTTTAAAAAATCCACGCCTTCTAAAGTCCTGAAAGAAATATTGTTTAAAAAATCCACGCCTTCTAAAGTCCTGAAAGAAATATTGTTTAAAAAATCCACGCCTTCTAAAGTCCTGAAAGAAATATTGTTTAAAAAATCCACGCCTTCTAAAGTCCTTGAAAAGTATTCTTTATAAAATCCACGCCTTCTAAAGTCCTTGAAAAGTATTCTTTATAAAATCCACGCCTTCTAAAGTCCTTGAAAAGTATTCTTTATAAAATCCACGCCTTCTAAAGTCCTTGAAAAGTATTCTTTATAAAATCCACGCCTTGATTGGTCCGTGAAGAAATATTGTTTAAAAAATCCACGCCTTGATTGGTCCTTGAAGAAATATTGTTTAAAAAATCCACGCCATGATTGGTCCTTGAAGAAATATTGTTTAAAAAATCCACGCCTTGATTGGTCCTTGAAGAAATATTGTTTAAAAAATCCACGCCTATAGAAGTCCTTGAAGAAATATTGTTTAAAAAATCCACACCTATAGAAGTCCTTGAAGAAATATTGTTTAAAAAATCCACGCCTATAGAAGTCCTTGAAGAAATATTGTTTAAAAAATCCACGCCTATAGAAGTCCTTGAAGAAATATTTTTTAAAAAATCCACGCCTATAGAAGTCCTTGAATAAATATTGTTTAAAAAATCCACGCCTATGGAAGTCCTTGAAGAAATATTGTTTAAAAATCCACGCCTATTGAAGTCCTTGAAGAAATATTGTTTAAAAAATCCACGCCTATAGAAGTCCTTGAAGAAATATTGTTTAAAAAATCCACGCCTATAGAAGTCCTTGAAGAAATATTGTTTAAAAAATCCACGCCTATAGAAGTCCTTGAAGAAATATTGTTTAAAAAATCCACGCCTATAGAAGTCCTTGAAGAAATATTGTTTAAAAAATCCACGCCTATAGAAGTCCTTGAAGAAATATTGTTTAAAAAATCCACGCCTATAGAAGTCCTTGAAGAAATATTGTTTAAAAAATCCACGCCTATAGAAGTCCTTGAAGAAATATTGTTTAAAAAATCCACGCATATGTATTGTCCTTGAAGAAATATTGTTTAAAAAATCCACGCCTTGATTGGTCCTTGAAGAAATATTGTTTAAAAAATCCACGCCTATGGAAGTCCTTGAAGAAATATTGTTTAAAAAATCCACGCCTATGGAAGTCCTTGAAGAAATATTCTTTATCCAATTAAAAAAATCTTTGAAAAACATACCGCCTTTATTAGACCGTTAAAATATAAATCCTCCTTGGGAGTGACCTCAAATTGTGCAGTATTTTCAATTCGGAAACCAGATTACCTTTCCTTCATCTTCCAACAATAGCACACAAAATTAATAAGCTTATATAGTGAAGAAAAACGAACCGTAGTTGCCATTTAAATAAAGACATATGACTTGAAATGGAATTGGGATAGATTTATTTTTCGTCCTGTTCCTTTGCTGTGAGTGATAAAAAAAGGGTGAGTGGTACGCATTTCCTTCCAGCCGACCATTATAAGTGGCTGTCGCCGGATGAAATGTCAACGGCATTTGCCATCACTTTCGTCGCATCACGAACTTTGGCCGATTCATGTTGCACTTTCCTTTGTGTCTTTTAGTTGTTTTTGTTGTTGTTGCTTTGTTAATATATGCAAATTCAACAAAAGCCATTTCGTCCAGTCAGCTTACCATCCTGCCATCCATCCAGGCATGGTGATGTCCAAACGGACACACAGACAGACAGACGGACAGCCATGCAGACTGATACAGACTACTCTGGGGGATGTTCGTGCAGTGCAATCTCCGGCATATGCCGTTTTCAAACTGTTCATTTTTGTTTCTGTTCGTTTGCCGTTGATTTTGTATGTCTGTACTGTGATGGCTCCGGTTTCCGGTTTGCATAAAAGAATAGCTTCATCAAAAATGTTAATAAATGCCAAATGACTAATGGCCTAATGGTGCTTATTCGTCGCTTTTTTCTGAAGATATTTTTTTTCTCTGCTGGATGGTGGGACCACGAATTCATCATTATGAACGCCATCAGCCAAGCATGCCCTCCTGACCATCCATCCATCCATCGTATCGTCATCATGGCATAACTTTCGCAGACATTGCAGAATTGCTAGGATTTGAGTGAAAAGCTTTCACACACACACACATACACACACCGTGGACATTACGAAAAAAAACAACACCATGGGTGATGACAACAAAAGCACGCGTTTAGTGCGTGTCCTTTGTTGTGATAACAGAGGACAATGGTATGGGCAGCAGCTGCCTCTTTGAAATGCCAAATCGATTTTTTTTATTAAATTCCATGTTTTTTTTTTTCATTTGTTCATGCCAATGCGGCGTTGAGTAATGCGCTTCGATGGAAAACAAGTCAATGCTTGACCAGAGGAGTAATAGCAGACGAGGGAGAGAGGGAACACAAATGTTGGTATCTGGCGAATAACAACTTTTGGTGGGCATGGCATTGTTTCCATTTGAGATTTAATAAACATAACACGTGGAATGAAATGGAAATGAGGAAAAAAACATAAATTTTGAATGTATTGTTGTGTGTGTATGTGTCCGTGTTTTTTTAAGGCAACATAGCATTATGAAATAAGTGTGGTGGACAAATAATAACAAGGATGTGGGATGTTGCAGTACAAAAGAGGACATTTATTGAAACCAAATGGGTCTTAAAAAATTGAGAAGTATTTTTAATTTTATAATAAAAACTAATTAAAAACCAGTAAGAAAAGTAGTAAAGTCGGACGGGCCGACTATATGATACCCATCACCACTATGGGAGCTATATCAAAAATCTGAACCGATTTAAACAAAATGTGGCACACGTTAGACTACTCTAACTTCGGTACGTTGTGTGATACTGTGTGTCAATCGGCGTAACTTTGGGTCTTTGGTGCACAATTTTACTTAACCTTCTGACGAATCTATATATGGGAGTTATATCTATGTCTGCACCGATTCCAACAAAGCTTGATAAAAATTTGTCCCAATCAGCTTAACTTTGGGTATTTGGTGTCCAATTTATCTTAAATCGGACGAAAATATATATGGGAGCTATATCAAGATCTGAACCGATTTTCACGAAACTTAGCAAACATCATTCCAGGCCTAATTCAGTACGCTGTGCCAAATTTCGTGTAAGTCGAAAATATATAAGGATTTTGGTGCGCCATTTACCTTAAATCGGGCGAATATATATATATATATATATATATATGTATATATGGGAGCTATATCTAAATCTCAACCAATATTTACAAAACTTAGCACACATCATTCTAGGCTTAATTTAGTACGATGTGCCAAATTACGTGCAAATCGAAAGATATATAGGGACTTCGGTGCACCATTTACCTTAAATCGGGCGAAAATATATATGGGAGCTATATCTCAATCTGAACCGATTTCAACAAAACATCGCATACATCAATCTGGGGCCTAAGTCAGTACGCTATATATGGGAACTATATCTAAATCTGAAGCGATTTCAATAAAACTTCGCATACATCAATCTAGACCTCATTCAGTACTCAGTGCAAAATTTTGTCTAATACCATAGACAGACGACAGCCTTAATTTGCATTAAAAAGTTCTTAATTTGAATTAAAATTT